GAGCCGCGTTTTGATGGTTGGACCAGCCTGGAGTGGAAGGAGTGGGTCTCTTCCAGCTGTGGCTCTCGGTGGTTCTGCTCTTGGCACTTTCATCCGCCACGCGTCTCTCAGAAAGACACCTTTGTCGAACTATTACGCCTCAGGTGCCACAACAAGAAAGCCGAAGCCGACATGCTAGCAGATTGGATGGTGGCCTGTCTTATTTTTTTGGCATCTTCCGGTAAATATGAACAGAACCATCAGGGATCCTTTCGAAGATGTCCCACGCAGTGTGAAGTTCGGACCGCTGTTGATGCACACTCCCTGTTGGGACACGGTAAAGCCAGCTCTGTCTGCCGAAAATTGAACCGTTTTTGTAAAGCACTGGAGTCACTGGAGGAAGGTTTTCAGAAAATTTCAGCGGTTCAGTTTGCCCCTGCCGTAGAGTCTCTACACTGTCTCTACATTGACGCATGAGCTCGGTTTCGCGCAAGCTCGCAGAATTGAGAATAGTTCGGAACTCCGAGGTTCTCTTTCTGACAGAACAGAGATTCTATCGAGCTCAGGTCGAAACTTGGGGCCTCTCAAACTTGCAACGAGGATCTGGCGCCTGAAGCTTAGCCTCTTGCAGCCATCGCCAAGTCATGCTGTGTAGCTGTCGCCATCATGAAGCACCCGCATTGCTTTGCAGCCGTTCCTTCAAGCGAATGCACGGGCAAATGTCATGCTGTTGCAGAAAGGCATTCGCAGAAGAGACAAGCTTCCTTTTGACCTGGAGCATGAACTAGCATCACTTGTGAATGATGTCTATATCCAAGCCGCCAGCTTGGTCTTGTTTGGCTAGGATTTTCATGTGCGGACCATGGTCACTCCGGCCGTGTGGGCTCCGGTAGCTTCAGCCCGACCTGTCCAAGCAAGGGCTTTGAAGACTGGGTCTCGTGTCGAGGACGTCCGGCTCCGTGAGTGCAAGCCAAGCCGGCACAGCTCGCTAAGCCGAGCCTCCTTGCGATACCTAGCTGTTCTGTTGTGCGCATCCCTGGCTCGGCCTAGCCGGGCAAGAGCAGAACGGCCGAAGGGGCCAAAGAATGCGGCCAAAGTTGCTCTCATAACAGGGGCATCGACAGGAATCGGCAGGGCGACAGCGCAAGAGCTGTGCCAAAGCAGCTCGTATTCAAAAGTCTTCCTTGCAGGGCACAACGAAGCAAAAACCAAAGCGACTATTGACGAGATAGGGTCGCCTTCAAAGCTGGAGTATCTCCCGTTGGAGCTTTCTTCCTTTCAATCAGTTCGGCAAGCCGCCAAACAGTTCCAGGATACGGGCTTACCTTTGCACACCTTGGTTTGCAATGCGGCCGTGATGGCGTTGCCACAGAGGCAGGTCTCCGCTGATGGCAACGAACTCCAGCTCGAAGTCAACTACCTGAGCCACTTCTTGCTCGTTAACTTGTTGATACCGCAGCTTTCGAAAGCTGGAACGGATGATGATCCTGCAAGGACTGATGAGTTAGGATACGCGTAGATCATGTGCAGAGGCTTTCCGAACTTGTACTGTCTGCCCATTGAGACGAGGATCATCAATGTGTCGTCCTCGGCTCATTTCGTCCGGAGTCCGCTGGCCTTTGGTGACTTGGAGGACCTGAATCTATCAGGTCGTGAAGGCGATAGATATGCATACTATCCCTGGACGGCTTACGGGCAGTCGAAGCTTGCGCAGGCTTGGTTGCATGTGTTTTCTTGCATTGAGTTTTTTCCAACCGTAGGACCTAGGAGCAGATTCCGGGGTACCTGCTGCAATTACGATTTAATTACTTTCTGTGGGATGGTCATGATCTCAGGTTCAGGAATATACATCCACTCCCTCCCGCCTGTTCACTGTTGTTTGGTGAAATTCCCTAGGCATGGTTCGGGGCTTGGCTCTCATCTCTTCATATTGAACTTCGCGTGGTTCCTGTTGGTCCCATATCCACCAACCCTCCAGGGATGCCTTGGTGGCTCCCGAGTTGGCGGCTTTTGATGCGCCGCACGTGTTGTGCGAGTTTCAGACCAGTGAACAGGCGTCGTAGGGACCTTTGAATCCAGGTGTTTTTTTGTTTTGGGTGGGGGACGCAGGTGATGTTCACCTATGAGCTTGCTAAGAGACTCAAAGCTCAGAGCTTGCCGATCGTGGCCAACGCGCTGGACCCTGGAATAGTGGATACCGAGCTGCAGCGTTATCTTCCAACCAAGGCCCGCTTTTGCTCATGCATACTCGCGGGGATGGTGGGGAAGGGGAGGGCCTCGGTCTTTGCGAGGCCCCGGCTGCACTGATGAAGTTGGCAAAGACACCCGAGCGTGGGGCGGAAATCCCGGTGCTCCTAGCGACGACGGGAGCTGGGTTGTCTTCAGGTGGATACTGGGTCGATGGACAGCCGCTCATCTGCCCTACTGTGCACGAAGGTGCGCCCTTGGCGGTTGTTAGCTGTTCAGTTCAGGCTATCGGAAAGCTTGGGCCGTGGGAAGTCTCCGATGCCTATGAACTCCGAGCTCGCTGTGGAAGGGTTCCCGGTCTTACTTCAAGGATTATTTTGGTGCTTTGCAGTTGAAGCCCCAGCTTCCTTCCAAGGACGACCTCCTACGATGAAAGTGCTTGGCGGGCGCTTTGGCGCTGCAGCTCTGAACTGGTCGGGCTGGAAAGAACCATCTAGCGGTTCTGACAAAAAAGGATGGATCAGTGTGACTGGATTTCGTGCGAATGAAAGAATCGAAACAGACGGGTGGTAATTGGTATTCGGGATTTGTGAGGTTCTGGACATCGGTGGAGAGCCTGGATTCCTTGCCGCATCGCTTCTCGATCGAGGTCCGTAGTCAGTAGTGTCAAGATGGTCTGAAAGTCTGTTGGGGGAATTGGTTGACGGGAAGGCCACTGCAAGAGCTTGCAGGTATAGCTGTGACTGTGGTCGACGGGCATTGGGGGAAGACGGGCAAGAGTAACAGCCACACGCAACTGCAGGAGGCGAAGGCCTGCGTTCATTCTCGGCTCTCACGCCTTCGGCTGCCCAGCTGCAGGTGAATGGGCTGCCGTCACCTCAACTTCGGGCTATCTGCGCTACCTTCGATACGGACTTCGTAGTTCTCGACCCAGATGTAGAGAGTCATGGGCTAATAGCATTCGGAGTGCAAGTCGTGACAAGGAAGAGCACAAAAACCTGGTTGAGAATGCCAGTGCCATTGTGTCCTTGTATGGAGACGAAGCAACAACGCCTTGCCTGCAGTATGTGGGGACCCCGAATCTGTGCGACTCTGTGCAGAGGGGAGCCGATTTGTGCAGAGTCTGCTAGCACCCGAGGCAGCCATCGCAAAGATTCCTTGCGTGGTGATACCCTGCAACGAGTGCGTGCTGGACCTGGACTCTGGCTTTTCGTTGCTGTTCGTTGCCGGAGATGTTATATCTGCACCGCGGGGAGGTGCGCTTCTACCCGCCCCACCAGCGCAACTACGAGGGCTATTGTCAGGCAAGAATGCATCGCGTAGCGTTGAACGAGTGCAGGGTATCCTGGAATCAGGCGGCCACAGAGGCAGGCCGTTGCTCAAAATGCACAGGCTCTGTTGTCCTTCGCCAACGATCAGGGTGGCCGGCCAGATGCCCAAAGCTTCATTACAAACTGTTTTCGTGCCGATGCGGCCATTCTCCTGTTGCAGGTTCCAGCGTGCAGCCCTGGAGGGTGCACCGTTTTCCCGTATGCTGTTGGTGCAGCTTCCAGACTCTGACGAGTTTCGGCAGACTCGAGAGAAGCTTGAGTCACACTGGCAGCAGACACAGCAACAGTGGCAGCAGCAACAGTGGCAGCAGCAGCAGCAGTGGCAGCAGCAGTGGCAGCAGCAGCAGTGGCAACAGCAGCAGTGGCAACAGCAGCAGTGGCAACAGCAGCAGTGGCAACGGCAGCAGTTGCAGCAAGGCAACCAGCAGCTGTGCCAACAACAGCACTGCCACCACCAACAAAATAACACTCCAATGCAGCCTTCCCAGCAGATGCAACACTCAGTGCAAGCTCAAAGTACGAGTCCAGTTGCAGGGTAGCAGAGTGATGACGGCAAACTCTGCTGACAAGAGGAAGTGGCTCTTCAGAGGTGTTAGCTGCAGCCCGACTCGGGCACATCCGTGCAAGCCGTGTGGTCTGCTGCGGGCAGTGAAAACATCGCGGTCAGGCTTTCTTCTAAGACTGTTCTCAGGGCTCACGGTGTTGGTGGCCAGAAATGCTGGAGCGAGTTCAGGCACCTCTTCGTGTGTTGCTGCCACAGATTTTGCTCAGATCAAGAAGGCCGCCCATAATGTCAGAACATGAGGGTGCCCACCCGCTACAGGGAAGGGGCGTATCAGCCCCCAGCCCCCACTTACTCACTCCACCCACAAACAAGCGCAGTTCGGCGTAGTTAAGCAGAGGATCGCATGATGTTATCTGTTGTCAAAGAAGATGTAGAGTCCCAGCAGGTCGACAGCTGGTTCGTGTTGTTGCTCGTAGTGACGCAGATGGTGCGCTAAATGCTGGAGCCAAGTGCCATCCACAGTTATGAGGCACCAGCCTACCGAAGCAACCCGCCCTCTCCCTCGGAAGGCCTACCGCCGAGTCTGCCTTTCCATTGTGCAGTCCTGGAGTCCGCAGATGCTTGCGGTGGTCCCTCCCCTGCCCTGCTCCACTCTTTGCGGGAGCAAGGCTGCAAGCTCATCCTCGCCCAGGTAGAGGATGTGGAAGAGGAGGAAAGAAGTCCGCCGAGGGAAAAAGTCAGTGCGGACAACAGCCCTTTCAAGCGAAACAGTGCGCCAAAGGCATACCGACCCACATCTCTAAATCGGGAGTGGTTCGATGCTGTGTTTGATAAGGTGCTGCCCATAACCGGCGAAGAGGGTGGAGGAAACAGTCCTCTAGAGCGCTTCTTTGCCGATGAAGGCACGCCTTCATCGCAAGCCGTCTGCTTCGCGTGCTCCGATGCGGGGTCCAAGGCATTTGCTGCTATGGACGCTGGCCTCGTTCTCGCTCCGGACCATGATTTGGTGTGGCGCAGGACCGAGGAGGAGGATGCTATACAGTTGCCGGGGGCAGACTGTGCCTTGTCACAAAGCCCTACGGCGCGACAGCTGGCATGGCTTCACGAGGTCTTCACTCAGAAGCTGTGGTGCTGCTGCATGTGGCTTGCACCAGCTCCCGAAGAGCTTCGCCACAACGCTGGACTACCTAGCGACAGCCCCTCCGCCTACGAGCGTGCAACGATAACGTCCGTGGCAAGCGGTACATTGCAAGCGCTTGGCCATCCGCCATGGTCTTCAAAGTGGGAGACCTTTTTGCAGGAAGGCGAAGAGACCTATCCTTGTATGGCCGTTCTCGGTGATGAGATGTCAGCATGTCCGGACTGGACCCCGTTGGAGCCACGCTTCCGCTGTCGAGGGACTTTGCGTGAGCTCGTTGCGCTCCCAAAGGTGGTTTTGTACTGCCATTCTCTGGACGTTGGCTTGGCCAAGGTGCACCACCTTATTGAGGCACAAGATGTGAACGGCTTGGTCGTGCGAGTCAGCAGTAACCGCCTGTGCAGCTTGTGCCGGGAGGGGACTGCTGGGACCGAGATGTCAGTGACACTAGTATCTTGCAACAGCAAGAACTGGCCGGATATTTGCATTCGCTCCAGCTTGTTGTGCAAGCATCTTCCGAAAGGTTTCACTCTGTATGGTTTTCCGTCTGTGGACATTTCGAGAGGCAAGGCAATGCTGACGGCAGCATACCAGGACGAACAGGGCCAAATAGTCCTGGTCCGAGCCTGGCATCGGGTATGCAAAGATGACGGCAGAGGGGATGTCGAACTGAACATTGGTGGTGACATGAACTGTGCCGGCCTGAGGTCCTCCGAAGACTGAGACTTGTGTTGGGAGCTGAACCCAACACCCTGCAGATAAGGTGCATCTTCAGTCCATGCCCAGAAAGCTTAGGCCTTGGAGAGCCCATGTGCATTGATTGCTTGGCAGAGTGCTCTTTTTTCGTGAGTCTCGGCTCTTCGCTTACAAAGCGGAGAGTTCGCCGAGGCTAGTGCGTTTTGGGGTACCGTCCGCAAAGATGCATGTGAGGCCTGCCGTTGGAAGATTCTGAGAAAATGTCGTCGAACCTCCTATGGGCAGGTGGATATCATCTTCTGCAATCCCCGACGTGGAACTAGATACACGGTGGAGAAGGTACGAACCTTGAGACAATCCCACTTTCAGGCAGTGAGGGACGTACTGACTTAACTTCTTTTCTTCTTCTGTCAGGTCGTGTCTGTCATTGCCAACAGTGGTCGGCTTGGGAGCTCGGGAAACCGGATTTCCAGCGCAGCTGGTCTCTCTGCGTAGACATGAGAAGCCTCCGCCGGTCATAGTTATCATCAGCATCTTCATCATAACCATCGTGGTTATGGCTGACAGGTCCCCTGTGGTCACTGTTCTTACTGTTGCCTTTCATTCTTATTGTCTCCACTCGTGACAGCAATGATCAGTGCTGTCCTTTTGTCGAATACTGCCACCGATCGCACTGCTGTCGAGCCCCTTCTGAATCCTCCCAGGCTGAGGCTGTCCTTGGGCGTCAGCGTTCCAGCCGGGAACTCCAGCTTCTGCAAGGTTCTTGCAACGGCAAGAGCGAAATGTGGGATCAACCTAAACGCTAGACCGATTCTGTGTACCTTATCCGTATCCTACAAACGATTGAAGGAAGTTCGCCGACCATCAACCCTGCCACACGGGGCTTGTCCTTGCGAAGTAGGAAGTCAAAAAACGTGGACCCTTAAAGCGTGTCGAAACGATGTGGCGGACGGAAGAGTCGCTCCACAACTACTACCACTGGCCGCCAGCCTGCTCTTTTACTCCCTTAACTGGGTTTATAGCACCAACAGGCTTAGGACTACTAATGCTTTAGAGGAACAGGCCGACGATTATCACTACTGTGGAAGAGCAGGCGCGGACTACTACTGCTGCTTCAGAGGGGCAGGCGGTGGCCTACTGCTACTACTACTACTACTACTACTGCTACTCTTATCATCACTACTATTATTATTCCTACTGCTGCTACTGCTGCTGCTACTGCTATTGCTGCTACTACTGCTACTACTGCCACTGCTGCTACTTCTACTACGACGACGGCTACGACTATTGGTGTTAACACCACCAGTACACCAGTAGCGCCTACTACTGCTACTACTCCTACTACTGCTGCTACGGCCACAACGACGACAACCGACGACTACCGCGGACGACCGACGACTACCGACTTCCGACGACGACTACTATCATTACTGCCACCGCGACTAGCAGGACGAATAGACTACAGGAGCTAGGTCCAGTATTGCCATGTGGCGGTCCCAACCAGCATTTAGCATGTAAGCAGCAGGTAGACTGATGATATTTTTGCCTTGCTGACTTCCTAAGCGCGAAAGCCCCAACTTCGGGAAGTGTCTGTGACGACTGCAGGGCGGCTCAGAGACCGCTGGGGCAGTCGATGGTATTCAATTTCAGGATGCACAGTCTTCTTACTAAGTACCACCATTCCGCTTAATCTTGTCAGTGTTGTTTTTGTCAATATCAAATGTCAACTGTTGTCGCATGAAGGCTTCGTTGGACACAAAGCATTCCGAACAGCTACTTCGCATCTAGCGAAGCAAGCTCGTTTAGTGCAGTTCGCCTTGCATTGCCGCGCGCGCTGAGCGATTGGCCCGCCGGGTTGTGCTCTTCTCAGTTGCTTACAAGTGAGTGCTTGGGCTTGGGGTTGAACTGTCATTATTCAGTCTTCAGAAGGCCTTGATTGGGCTAAGAGTTGTTAAACAAACAATAGAGACAAATATGAGTACATGTGTACATGTACATGTATAAAGTCTTTCTCTCTCTCTCTCTCTGTATATGTATACATAGACAGATATCTACCTATCTACAGATTTATATTCATGTAGACAGAGTATATAGACTCGACCTGCGAAGAGCTCCTTCGTTGACAAAGGACTGTGGCCAGCCATGGCAAGCAGAGACAGCGACATTGTCCAGATCCTGGGCTTAAAGGGACCTTCTGGGAAGTCCATGGACACGCCCGAATTCAAGTTGTTCGATACCCTAAACCCTGAACCCGCAACTCGACCCTAAACCCTAAACCCTGTTGTGAGATGGAGTCTGCTAAGAGCTGACACGCTTCGGGCATGACGGAGCCGAGGTTCTGTTGCCAGCTCTACTATGCACAGGAGGGGGAATCTCCCCTCTCCATTGACATCATGCGTTTGGGCTCGATGAGGGGCAGGCTGAGCGAATCTTGGCATCGGGAAGCAGCAAGGTAACTAGCTTGGCAGATCCGCATTTACGGGCTTCTTTTAGATGTCGACGAATGGTGGTGAGCTGACTAGAATGTTCAGCCGCAAGGCTTGAGGCTTGGTGCACACTCTACAGTACTACAAGTAGGTGCAGAGCCAGAAACCCTGCAGTGACAAACCCGATGTCCACATTCAGGTGAAGTACCATACCGTGGATGCGAGCGCCCTTGCGGGCCGCGAATACGAAGCCTGTTCAGGCAGCTGGCATGCACAAGCAGTGAGTGTTCAATGTACTGCTCAATGTCTTGTCATATTATCACTATCATCATCATCCTCGTCAAGGGTGATACTGGCAATGATGCTATACAGCTACGGAGATCTGGACTGGCTGTAGGGCTCTAGGCCCAAGCTCCTAGAAAATAGTGCAGGCGAGCTCATCTTTGAACATGGCGAAGATCACAAAGAGATCCAGGTCGTTGGGACCCCAGCCAAGTCTTGATGCTGGCCAGTGTCGTGAACGATGGGCTTGCAAGTTTATGACTGCCAATTCCTGACATTTTTTTGGCATTGAGCAGAGACCTGTGGAGACTGAGGAAATCAATGACGACGACAACTGGTCACCCTCCACTGAATTCAAAATCGTCTTGACCCATCCGCAGAACTGCAGGCACTGCGATTGTAGATGCGAAATGCTTACACAGCCTGCAAGTGCCCTTATTGCGGGCCGTGCTGTCAATTTAAGATTGAGGGTTCGGAGGGTTTAGGGTTTTAGGGTCTAGGGCCTTGGCGTTTGTCATGGTTTAGGGTCCGGGGGCTGGGGCTTTTAGGGCTTAGGGAATTTCGCAGTGATGAGATCGCCGTTGCAATGCGTCAGGAACCCCCGCCGTATCACACAATGTAATTAGGTCCATGATATACGACCGCTACGTTAGTGTAAACTATGTGTCCTAAGCTCGCATGTCTAATTATGCAGGCCCACGTTTGCACTCGCCCAGTGGCCACCACATCCTTCCACCCATCCGAGCTACCCTGAACCCTAAACCCCTAAACCCCTAAACCCTAAATCGATACTGGCCTCGGCCTTCATGGCAGCTGGAGAGAAGGAGCCAGAAGTGCAGTACTCGTCAATATGATCAGAAGAGCAAGACTCAAACCACCCGAACCCGGGGCAGGCCCAGCCAGTAGAATTTTGGACTCATGCAGGGTTTAGGATTGAGGGTGTTGGGGGTTTTTGGCTTACCTATACACCAAACTCCAAACCCTAAGCAGACTTAGTTCTGCAACCGGAGGCTTGGACAAGATCTGCAATACTGCCGCGTCAAGGCCAGGCCCAGACTATCGAGAGTTAGAGTTTCCAGGAGGCCCTGTCGTGAGAAGGCTCGAAGCAGTCGAAGAGAACCTTACAAATATGCAAGGTCTATCTATAATGTATATACGGGCAAAGATCTAAGATTTTTATATACGGGCAAGGATATATCCTCAGGCGTGCCTACACATTTTACACTGTAACTTAAAGCATGTTTTTTACTATGGGTAAATTAGACCTACAGCCAAGATCATGAAGTACTAGATCAGTTGTATGGCATGCAATGCAAGTCGACCAGGCTTTTTGTTTATAGCATTCTGTAAATATAGCACAACATATTACACTATGCCGCGATATACTATAAGATGCTAGGGTTGTTGTTTCTTGGGGTATGATGTAGCAGTGGTTACTTCATGATTTAGGGTTTCGGCTTCAGGGGCTTACAGCTAAAGTACTCCGGCCTCCGGCGACAGGTGGAGCTCTGAAAGGCCCGGAGGCCTGAGCGAACCCTAGCCGAGCCCCACAAATGATACTAGACTTGATGATACGATACTTTACTTTACTACATTATACGGTACTATACTGTATGGTACTACACTTTACTATATTTTACTGTATGATACTATACTATTCTACTATATTATAACGTACTACTGTCTTATACTATATTATGCGACACTATACTGTTATGAGACTATGCTGCACTATATTATATTCGGTTGTACGGTATTATACTATATTATCCGACATGTTACTTAATTATACTAAAGTCTATTATGTGATATTTTTATCATACTGTCTTGTACGATATTATACTATAGTATACTATACTATAGTAGACAAAAGTATACTATGATATACTACAGTATACTATCGTCTACATCGTTCTTGCTTGCACATCTCCCTTGCTAGATCATCGATGATGATGCTTTTCCTGGCAATAACCATCGCGAACAGATCCTCAAGGGCGAGGACTTGCGATCGGTCAATGCCAGATTAGCAGGCGACTTGAGCTCACCTTGACCGGCTGCCCCGTTACGTTGTTAAAGTACGTTCTACTAAGTTACAATATATACTGGTACGTTATAGCATGTTGTAATGCTTCAAATCCTCTCTGATCGCGAGGATGCTATATGGAACATCAGTGGCTTCTCCCTGTTTTTCGAATTTTTCCGTTTGAACTTCATCAGCGACTGTGCAGCAGCTTTGTGTGGCAGTTGTCACGGGGCATATCCACGCCCCCTCTCCCTAACAGGGGTACTGAGGTGAAGGCATGGGATACAGAACTGTGCTGACTGTGATGTTCGACCAGTTGAAGATGCTTGGATCTGCACCAGTGGCCAACCCATGGTTGTGTTCGACTGTTCAAGCCATTACGATCTGGTTTGTCCCTCGGCATGCATAAGGAACGCCTACCTTCTGCTGACCCTCATGATGAAAACCTATCTCATCAACGCTGCTCGGCGGAAACGAGATTACACCAAGTCAGTTGAGAAATATAAACCCTATGGCTTGCAATCGGGTCGATACTGACGTGAAATCAGCTTTTCGGATCGCTGCGAATGTTGGCAACGACTCAGGCCACAGACATAGTGCACGCGCATATGTACCGGCGCCAGGTAAGCAAACATCACAAAAGAAACTAAACATGTGAACCAGCAATGTAATCTACATCTCGGCAACGCCATGGCACGGTAACATAGGGCAACATAAACCAACCTGGACTACTACATTAGGATGGGTCATAAGAGAAAATGACGTAGCATGCTATCGGACAGGCAGCAGCGCGACGGTACTGAGAGCAATGCCAGTTGTAGCATTGCCAGCAACCAGTCGTAAGACAAAGGTTCGGACAGACATCAGTCGTCATCAGTCGGTAACTAGCACTAATTAATTAGGAACCATAGTGACAACTCTCGTTGTGGCAGGTAGCACGAATAAAAAAGGATGTGTACGCGTGCATGTCGGTTTGCGCAAACATGTCCGACAAATACGTAGATGCAGCACGTCTAGATTTTCTGTGTCCTCACACGAGTGTGCGCATGTATATGTAAAGGCATTTGTGTATGTGTGTGTGTGCCGACGTGTATATGTATGTAAAGCTTGCTGGACCATGACTTTCAGGTGGTGCTGGACACGAGGACGTCCGAGGATCGCCTGATTCTGCCGGATCGGCGCACTTGTGCCGCTCAGCAGAGAGTGATAAGGAGTGGCAAGGCTTCAAGAACAGCTCATTCTCTCGCCAGCCTGGTCGAATCCAGAAGAGCTTATTGAGCTCTACAAAGATCTTGGTGAAGCAGTCAGGTTATGTAAAGCTCGGGTTCTTTTCGAAGCTGTCAAGTGTTCTCCCCAACTGGGAGGATTACCACGATGGACCCTTCGCTACTGCGCATGCATGCTGTGAAGCGAAGAATGTTACGGAAAACAAGGCCATCGTCATCGGCATCCTGTACATCGCGCCGCTCACAATTCTTCACGTCTGGGACTACTATAAGCTGCCTATCTTTGCAAAGGGATGTTGAATGCCATAATTTGCTGTTCGTGCACTACGTGAGTCAGTGCTTACCAGAGCCCTCCCAAAGGTTTCTTCACGTTTCTAGTCTGTCAAGGAGCCCTTAACCCTAAATCCTAGCTTTCTTAGCACGGCCACTACTTGACGGTCGTGCTCGATATACATATATATATATATATATGTATGTATGTTTATATATATATATAAATATTCACGTTTATTTATTTGTATTTATATTTGTATGTATGTATATCGTATGTATATATATATATATACATATGTATACAGTACACATACACACGAACATATCTACACAGATATCATATGTATACTAAAACAATCCATCCATCCATCCATTTACCCACCAGTCTAACAAGAATCTATCTGTCTGTCTGTTTGTCTATTTATCTATCTATTATGTATCTAATTCTGTAGTTAGATGTAGATAGGTATGCAGGTGGAAAGAAGGCTGGAGAACATTTATCCACCCGGACCCTCAATCCCTCGAAACACCCCTAAACACTAGAAAGGGCTTTGGGCTTCTGTAGCCCGGCCCGGGATGCATCCGTGGGCGAGCATTTTGGCCATTGGGGTCGAAGGCCACATTGCATGGATCTTCGGGGTTGCCGGGATGAAGCTGTGTGGCAGCGGGGAGCAGAGGAAGTCGCACAGAAGCCTGCGTAAGTACGAATGTTATTCCTCAGAGTTCCAATTATAGGTGTAGTATAATGTACCCCAAAACCCTATTGGCCCTATTCCAACTATTATACCTACTTTTTCCGAAAGTCGCTGCTTGAAAAAGCAGGAGCGCAAGCCTGAGATGAGCTGAGAAAAGTCTGATCGGGTCAGGGATCTCCGCAGACGTCATCGAAGAAGGCATCTTTAGGTTTATCGGGTTTAGGGTTCAGGGGTTCGGGTTTAGGGTTTAGGATTCAGGGCTGTGTCTCGCCCAGGTTGTCCTTGGACGTGCAAGGGCGCACGAAGATGTTCATCCAGACCACCCTCTTTCGGAAGTATCTGAACTACAGCGTTGCTCGGCTTGCATGGTGCGTGAAAGCAAAGAGTGCCGAACATCGAGCCCTGCATCAGTTCGTCAACATCAGAATTCCGATCGACGCTATCGGCTTCAAGCTAAGGAGAAGTCAAGGCGCTCCATGACCCCGGCGCAGATGAATCATGCCATCACACAGGCGGGGTGTCTGGGTCGTGGGCAACAGGGGGACCTTGGTGGTTCCGCAGTCTGTTCAGGGAGAAGGCGCGCAAATCAGCTGCAAGTCAGGCTATGAGGGACCTCACTAGCTGCACAGCCCCAGGAGAGTACGGACGTTGCCAGTGCCTATGCTGCGGTGTGGCTGGCTCAGCATGATGCGAGAACATGCTAACAATTTTGCATGTTGTCCAGAAGGGACCCCGGCGTCTCATTAGGTTCAGGTTCGGGGATCGTCCATGAAGGCGATGCAGCTTGCAGCTTGCAGATCAGTGTAGAGCGAAACAGGGCTCCGGTGCCCTACTAGATCCCAAAAGCGAGGCTTTTTGATCCTCGCAAGCCTCAGATAGGCAAAATCTACTGGAATCTACACAGCTGTGACTGACCGCGCAATGCCGAAAGGTTGGAGATCGTGCAGATGGGTGGTCGAATCGTTGCCCGTCGATGAGAGGTTCTAAGGTTCAGCTCAGGATTATGCTCCCCCGATTCCTCTTCGCAGGCTTTCTGATGCTTTGGCTCCGGATGTTTGGATCGCTTGAGGCGTTGGGAGTCTGTCTTAACAGTCTTAACATAATTCACTAATAGATAATAGTAGATAGCGGTCATAAACATACTAGCAGTAGTCATACCATTAATGTTTTGCAGGATATGACTGCCTTGGAGTCGCATGCAGCCATGCAGCTTGCCCCAGCAGGATTCAAGACATGCTCGCAGAGACAGTAGATGAGATCGTGGCTGTCATCAGAGAAATACATCCAGAATGGTAGTGTCTCGGAATCGCACAGCTCTTAACCCGGCGCTGATTCGGCCTGAAGAGTGTTTTTCCTCAAGGTGCTGATGGTCTGCTTCACAATGAGCCAGGCGACCCCGAACCGTCAGCCCCAATTGCCTCAAACCCTGATACATGTTAAACAGTTAAGATAGGCCTTTTGCGGCAAATTGGGCGATTTTTCAGAGGCTTTGTTTTTCTCCTCATAGCCGGCCTCAGCCTGCAGGTTGGCGTTTGGCAAGGGGTGCTTTCTCAGCAACACCAGCATCACCACCATCTTCACCATTTCTACGATTACCTTGGTCATCTCGACTGCCATCTTCATCATCATCATCATCATCATCATCATCACCATCACCATCATCATCATCCTCATCATCGTCGTCATCGTCATCATCGTCATCATCGTCGTCATCATCATCAACAACATCATCATCATCGTCATCATCATCATCATCATCACAATCATCATCATCACCATCACCACAATGATGGCGATGATTGTGACGATGATGCTGATGCTGGTGCTGATGATGATGCTGGTGATGGTGATGATGATAGTCATGGCGATCCTCCTCGTCGGCATGCTCAGAGCCTATGCCAGCATCTCGGTACTTGTTGAAATCGAGGCTGTAGCAGCAGTATCCGTAGGAGCAGCAGGACGAGCAGAAGGGAAGCAGCATTCTTGCTTGTGACCGATCGTGGTGACATGGTAACAACAAGCATGCACCTTCGGTACCTATGGTCTCAGTAGTGTCGGCTGCGGTTTTTCTCGCAAAACAGCCTGCGTGCTAAAAGATGCGCCGGATCCCGAAAGTCCCCGCCCCATTGCGATGCAGACGTACAGCCCACGCAAGGATGCATGGATTTCATTCATTCTTTCATTCATTCATTAATTCATTTATTCACTCTCTCACCCGTTCATTCATCCGACAAGTGCGAGCCGCCCGCAGTCTTTTGCGAGAGTTTGAGTGCTCTGCGGCCGTCCTAATTGTATCCCTTTCACACTCTGCCGAATGCACTCTGAAGTGTACTTCTGATCTTAACTGGTGCAGGACCCGGCGTGTTGGTGGGTCGTGGCGCTCATGCCCACACTCATGGTCCTCTTCGGAATCATCCGTGGCGATGCGATGTCCAAGGCTGAAATGAGAAGTGTTGCGAGAGCGCGGCACATTTTAATGCTACCCACGGGTGTGGATTTTGTGGGCTATTTGGTCTTTGTTCCAGACTGTACTCTGGGTTCGTCGTAATAGACGGCAAATATACAGTAGTGTTGCAGATGACCCACATCGCCAGGTGACCCGGATCTCTGGCGCAGTGCGGGAGCAAGTGGTTGCCTTCGTGAGTGAGTCCTGCCGCCGGGCTCAGCTGCGTGGTTTTGGTTTGGGGGTTGGGCCTGTGCCGAAAACTGGTATGTTTCTTCCGTTCCCGATCCGCTCGAACGGCTTTGCTCAGACCAGAAATGTCGTCGTCCGCGAGCCAGAGCAATGCTAGCAGATTTGCATTGAACCGTTAGAACAGGGTTTTGGGGTAAATAAGTATAGCAAGGAACCTTTTGCTGTCATGCCAGACTGCAAAACACTGTAAAATGTAGCACAGATCGTTCTGTCATGGAGAACCGGCGCACTGAACACTTCCGCAGGCCCACGGTACTGGTATGGTAACAGTCCCATGGCTTAAAGGAAGCCCAAACTCGCGTAAGAGCCTCAACCCTAAACCCTGACAAACTCACAAAACAGAAAAGGCCCTCATGTCAAAGCCTCAAGCTTGCGATGAGGTGACAAGTACAGCTTGATCGCCGAGTACAGCCGTCGGCCGGTAATGAGCGAAATCTTCGAGAAGAAGGCCAACCTCGTGGCCCAGCCTGCTTCAGAGCTCTCTAAAATCCTGGAAGCTGAGAACGAGCGAAGCAAGGGGCAGCTTTAGAGAATCGGGGTTCCTGATTCGAGAATCAGGTCTCTGGTTCTATATATTTGTGCTTCCTGGTTTACCTGAAACCCTCCGCAACTGTATCGCATCTTCCCACTAGCTGGCTGTTGTGGCCGTTTGGGCTGGCACTCGCGGTTGAGACGTTGAGGGTTTCAGCAACCACAGACCTCGACATCAGGACCACGGCAGAGAAGCAGCTGCACAAAACCGAACTTTGCCATTCCTGTTCCGAGTTCTGGTTTAGGGTTTAGGGTATGCGCTTCATCCTGCTGACAACCCAGATCGAAATTCGGAGCACTCACCCGGAATTTACACGTTGGCAGAAGCTTCCAAAATCCCGTCGAATTATCAAGGTCCCGACATTATGTCTATTCGCACATCTGCCGAACTGGGAAGCGGAAGACTGCAGACTGATCAGCTCACACCCATTCACTCTGAGAGTTGTTGTTTTCTGCCTCTACGCAAGAGAGTTCTCTGCATCAGAAAGAGCGAAGAGAGCCACCGGGAAGAACATGTGGCTTCTCTGCAACTTGCAAACTCCGCTCTGTTTGCCATGCCTGATCTGTCTTCAGAGAAGGCAACCTGGACAGGCTCGCAAAACGCCATAGTGATCTTTCCAACAATGGCCCTGAACGCTTTGCTGAGGCACGCTTGTCGGTCATTCCCGAGCAGCAGGTGGCACTCAACAACAACTATTTTCCGCGACTTGACTATCAGACAGGGTTCGAAAGACAGTTTCAGTCATTGGAGGACAGGCGGGCATGTGTATCCGCGGCAAGAGAGCGCGAACAAGATATATACCCTTCTAGCAGAGTCCGGTCATTTCGGGTCTGAGCTTGGGTGTCGCAACGATGGGGCCTGTCTTTGTACCGATAGCATGGTGAACATCGAGAAGCGTTCTTGATCCATGTTGGGAAGGCAGTGGCTGGGACCCACCTTCATCGGCGCTTACATTGCCAGGGGCTCATGAGTGTTCAGCTTCAACCATTCGCAGCATCACGACGTGTAGATACTGGGCTCGAAGCATCAAGCACTGTTTCGCGGGTACATCTCAACGCAGTGCTACGGAAGATGACACCCTAAGATGATGTCAATATCACTACTTGACTCAAGGACCGCCGTGTGTGTGTGTGTGTGTGTTGTCCCTGGTTGTTTCTATGCTTGGCTGCCCTCTCTAATCCTTCCCAGCAGTATCGTCATTATCATTGTCATCAGTATCATCATTATCATCATGGTCCTCATCGTCATCATTATCATGATAAGTTTCATCATGATTCATCATCATCACCATCATCATCCCTGCCACCACCATCATTTTCATCTTCATGCTAATCCTCTTTTTCTTCATCACCATCACCGCCACCATCATCATCACCATCATCATTAGCATCATCATCATCAGCGCTATGAGGGCAGACACTACCAGCACCGACAACAACCACCAACAATAACAACATAGCCACGCCTCCTCCTCCACTACGATCATCCAGCCATCACCACCATCACCGCCATCACTGCCGCCGCCACCACCGCTACCACTCCCACCGCCAACCACCGCCAAAAGCACCACCACGACCCACACGGACATCCTTGACAGTATCTGTCGCATTGGAGTTGGTCACCGTGGCAATGCCTGTGTCAATGCTGGAATCGCACAACCCCGTGGCCCAAACTGCCGGAAGCCGCATGCAGGCCCTCTTTGCCGAGAGTGTTCTGGATGGGTCGACGTCAATGGGAGTGCGCCAAGCATGTGCTTCCTTGAGTTGAAATGTTGGATTTCTGCTTCAGCGCATCTCAGTCGAGCAGATGTCGTGAGACCGCTGTTGCCTACGGATAGCCGCTATACCCCGTGCACCAGCGTGATACTCCAGTGGCATGCGCTGTGTAGTACTGACTGGTTGTGTCAGCCAATACCTGTGACGTAGTGCCTTGGTGACTCTCTGAGCCCGAACTGGTTTTGTGCTACTCGTGCAAATAGTCTTGGCCGTCAGTCGCAGCCTACCCTGTTTCGGGTTCAGAGTTCGGGGGTTCGTTCCTGGTATTTGAAGCTGGCCTTAGCTTGTGGTAGCAACCTTTTCAAAGTGTTCGAGGTTTCCAGGCTGTGGCAAGCCATTGTTGCGCCCTGTGCTCTGGCACTCTGCCAGGTGTTCCTGGCGATCATCTCTGTGATCAGCACCTCGGTCGATTAGCGTGCCTGCGCAATCCCAGGGTCGGATTTCCTGTGGCTTGTTTCTGGAGGACCCAGTCACCTAGTCCTAGTCTGTCCTGTCGGAAGAAGTGCGGCATGTCACTATTGTAGTGTTCATCGCACTAGAGTACTCTGATGGTCGCTGTGCAGCTGGCGGTAGCAGTCACCCGATTTCGGACATTTTCGGACACAAGTTCAGGCAGAGGCATCTACAGCTTTACCTCCTAGTACTCCACCCACAAAAGGTTGTTGACATGCGAGCAAGACCATCGAAAGCAACAACGCCACACTTGTAGACTGACTAGTAAGACGAATTAGACCTTCAATACTGTTAGCAAGGCACGAAAAGCCCTCGAACAGATCACTGCGACGACGCGACGACCACCACAGTAACAATAAGCAATAACAATCACCAGGAGCATCAACAGCAACAGCAACGGCAACAGCGACAGCGACAGTGACAGCGACAGCAGCAGCAGAAGCAGCAACAACAACAGGAGGAACATCAATGGCAGCAGCAGTGGCAGCAGCGCTGTAGCGACAGCGGCAGCAGCAGCCGCAGCGGCAGTCAACTGCGTGGCGAATTTCGTCCTCATCATAATGTTCTTCTTCAGCTTCATCAGGTTCGTCATCATCACCGTCGTCACCATGATACATCCCTATCCTGCCGCTCATCGTCAGATTTTCCTTCAGACTCCTCTTCACATTTCTCATCAACAGCCTTCATGGTCGTCATGATCAACATCAGCATCAGCATTGTTCGCAAGCACCAGCACGGCGAGAAAGCCGTCGTCCTGTAGAGCGTAGAAGCCTGAGGTGACATGACCAACGACTTCGAGGGCATTTTTATTGAGCTGATGAGCCGCTTGGCTTGTGCCGGTCATTTTGAGGGTTTGGGGTGTGCGGTTTGCGTATCGTGGCGTGGTGGGGTGGGCAGGGAGTGGGGGGGGGGGTCTGAACTGATGCATTTAATCGCGCCCGGTGTAGTGTTTATATCTGTGCGGTGGCGACTGTCCTGACCGTCTTCCGTCACCACCATCGTCACAATCGCCTGGTAATTTCGCATTCTAATCGTCATCTGGATTTTATCGTCGTCATCGTCACCCCATTGCATCGTCGTCACCAATGCCTCCATCATCATTATCATCATCATCATCATCTTTGCCTTTTTAGTCTTCGCGTCATTTCAACTCTTTTTCTAAAGCTGTTGTCGTCGCGGTGGTTGCAGTGGCAAGCCAAGGCATCAACACCCGGATCGACTCTCTGAAGGTCCGCTGAACGAAGCACTTGCCGTTGTCTCGTTTGGATCCTTATGTTGTGTACTATAATAGGGGCCTAAACAATTAGAATAGGGTTTGGGGGTTTATTATACTATAATTATAATAAGGAACCCCCCAAAACCCTATTCTAATTATTACGGCCTCTATATTACCAGCTGTAGCACGAGGATGCCCTCCGAACTTCTCAGACGTCTACTACAGGTGCTTGAACAAGCTTTCCCCTCTACTGGAACAGGGCAGGAGGGAGCTTCAAGAAGCAAAAAGTGCACTTCTGCTAGATCCCCCTGTGTATTGCAGCAAACTCACCTTGCTTCACTTATGCTTTGGGGGAGTGCCTTGGTCTTCTTCTCCAACCCTTTTCCAACCATGCCTCCGTATCATGCCATGTTCTCATCCCGCTATCATCACGCAATGAAGCAGACGTATGGTCTGGTGCTGTAGAGTTCATGAATAGGCAGATATTGTGCAGGACTTGGTTTTTGTATTGGCAGGTCTTGACTCATTTCTTCAACATGGAATCAGAGCTTCCAGCCGCGCCCTTGGACGTTCCCGAAGCAGGAGTCGGAGTTTTGGGGTGATTCTGACCCCGACTCGTCAGATCGATTTAGTGCACACGCTCTGTAGCAGTTGGAGCTCTCATTGTTGGGTTTTCGTCCTGAGACCAAGTTTCAGAGCTGTTCTTCATTGATGGCTTGTTTCCGTAAGCTATTTTCCTCCCGAGCAGTACCGCGGACCAGCTGTGATCAGTGCTCATTGTTGCAAGGACACTAAAGTGACTAAAGCCAACGCCAATAATGGCAGCAGTAGCAAGTAACTACCACCACTGCTGCTTCTGCTACTTTCTTCCGAGCTGTAGCAGTAGCAACAGCAGTAATAGTAGCAGTAGTACCGGGATCGTAGGCTTGTCGGGGTAGCAATGAGAGCAGGAGTTGTCATCGCTGTTACTAGTCTGCAAAAAAACAATCAACCCGGTCCGAAGGTGACGTTTAAACGGAATGTACCACAACGCATCATTGTAAGGTTGGTGCAGTAGCTGAACTAGTCGCAAGCAGGGCTGCAACATCATTTTTAGTAAGGAGACTCACTGACACCTCGGCCCCAGAGGGACATGCCTCTCCCCCGACAGCTGCCTAGATCCTGCGCGAGCTGAACTTGCGGAACCGGGCGCTCACTCTGGAGGCACATAGGGGGTATAGGCTTCCAGGTTGCTTGCACTTCATGTCAGCCTCTCCACTCATGAGATCGAGGAACCAGCTGAACGACTTCAGCTGCTCAACCCTAAACCCTACAACCCAGACCCTAAGCCCAAACCCTAAACTCCTCAATGCCAAACCCTGAGCCCTCACACCCCAAGCTTTCCCCAAAGCGCAGGCGCGCCAGGAGGCCAGGAAACTCCCCGAGCCACCGCCGGAGACCGGACTCCTCAGGACATGGTGTATTAAAGTATTTGTGTGTTTATCAATGTATTCATCTACGGGTTTTTTTTACAGGGGTTTACAGGGGTATTTAATTAGGTTTTACAGGCGTTCAGAGGGTTTAGGGTTTTGAGGTTTTCAGTCTTCCTGTCAAAAACGGGTTTTAGTGAAAGGTAGGGGTTCTAAGCTTTGGGGTTTGGGGTTTTTGAGTCTCGTAGTCATATACATCTGCTGGGAGGAGTGTTAGTTTTACCTTGGGGGTGGGGTGGGGTTTGAAGCGTTCGCGGCATGTAGTCATATGGGGTTTTAGGGTTTAGGGGGAAGTGTAGGGGTAGGGGTTTTAGTCATATAGCCACGTAGTCTCGCAAAGGCATTAGACGATTTAGGGTCCATGCTTGGGTGGCCTTCGGCCATGCCAGTAGAACACAGGCTGCTCAGTCGAACTTCATATCAACATTTCTGGGATTATCTTGGAGCAGTGAAGTTATACGAGTGAGCCGTCTGCAGAGGCTTGCTGAGATGCCGGAGGGGCCACACTGCTTGATGCACCAAGTTCTCCATGACAACACCCTAAACCCGAAACCCCAATCATCAAAAAGGGGGTGGGACAATTACTTAACTACAGTATACTATATTTCCCCAAGCCCTAATTTGCTTCGGACTCTGATCGCATACTTCTAAGCGTAGAATCTCTGCGCTCGTCGCCACAGATGTCTGGGTATAGGGCAACCCTAAACCCTAAACCCTAAAGCCTAAAACCAAAGCCCTAAACCCCTTTAGGGCAGTAGTCGTCTTACTTTGTGGCGAACAGGACCGATCTCATGGAGATGAAGGTTGACGGATTATCCTTTGGATACAAGAAAGACCAGTGCCTGACCGGCAAGGGTGATGCGAATGTGTATATATGTGTCTACATAATATTCTATGTAGTATGATCTGTATATAGAAATAAGTAAATATACATACATATGGAAACATACACATATAAAGTATCTCCCAAGCTTCATTATGGGGGTTCGAATGATGATCGTGTTACTAGTTATGGTTGCTAATGTAGCGTCTCGTCTGTTTTCGGTAAGAGAGACACGTGGTGACCAGGGTTGCTGCACAGATCCGGGCATGGCAATGCTTCACGAACGTATATCTAACTGTGTTTCCCAGCCAACACACCGGCCTAAGTTCAGACCTACAGTTCCAAACTCACACCTTTGGGAGCCCAAGCAAAGGCAACTCCTCAAGAATGTCGGCCTCCTCCACGTCCCGCTGGGCCGGATTGCCTCGCTGCAGCAATCAGGTAAGTTGCATTGCACCTAGGTGTTGCTGGCCGGGCATTAAAGTTCGTGCCCCCGTGGTCTCACAGTTCCTTGAGGTCTGGTGCTCTTGGCCCACGCATAAGTCACGATGAAGAAGCCGACGCGGCTAGACAATGCCTGGGTGATTGGGCGACTGGCATCTCCAGCCGGACCGCACACCACCCGTCCGCCAGCATTGCTTGAAACCCACCAACCCTAAGCTCTAGGCCCTTTTGTCCTCGGCCGGCCTTGCCAGCCCTGCCACGTAACGAAACAGAAATGCTGCGAATAAAGATGGTAAGTCACACTCAGAAAGAGCAAACATCGCGTTGTGGCTGTTACCTGCTATGCACAGCATGGTCAACACCAGAATTGCTCGCGTTGTTTAGTGACATGTACAAACCCATTACAATAGCTGCATCACCTGGTGCTGAAGATGGAGACTTTGACACTTACGGTGGTGACCACCGACTGTAGTGGAAGATCGTGATAAATCTCAACCCTGAAACTTAAATTCCCACCAAAAAACCAAAAGCCCCAAACGCACAACACCAGACCTTACACTCTAAAACCCTAAACACTAAAGCCACACTCCAAAATCCTAAACCCCGAAAGCTCCTAAAACCTCAAACCCGGACCCCATTGTTCCAGGGTCGATCCCCAAGCAGTGCCAACAGTGAAGGACCATAGAGCAAGTACATCAGGAGCCCGCATCCACACCCCCCCGCCCGCGCATTCTTGCACGCACCCCGCGCATGCCCGCGTGCATTGAGCCGCTGGTTGGACCAGACGGCATGATAAATTCGGCCTCCGACAAAGAGGGCCCGACGGATCCTGTGCAAATAATCGGATATGCTACCGCAGGAAACGTCTGCGAACCTCTCGTCGCGAGTGTGCCTCGCGGCCTCGCGCGCACACACAGCAATTCTGTTATAACGTAAGAACCCCGTAATTCCAAGCAAACCAACAGCAGACCCCTACATGAAACTCTGCTCTAACCCTTCTGAGCCTGTATCTAGAGCCCGCACAAAAACCTTGTAAACAAACCCTCTACAAGCCGCACAGCAAGCCCCTGGCGTTTAGCGCCTTCAACCGTGAGCCTTATTTTTTGGCTTAGAAAGTGGCGAGGTCGCCTTGGTGGGAGTGCATGGGTCTGGCAAGATTCCCGGCTTAAGCAAGAGAGTTCCTCTCAAGGCTCTGTAGGCATAGGTCTCCATTCTTGTAAGGGTTTCTGCTAAGGTTCATTATGTATATATATATATGTACATATGTACATGCAGATATATACACAATATATTAAATAAGGACGCAAATGAATAAGTGAATACATACCTATATGTTCGTTTCTTTAACAAGTGTGTTCTACTAAGGCTGTATATGCTTTGATATAGTCATCAGGTTTTCGTTAACTTTACACATTCCTTTACCAGGGTTTCTGCTAGGCTCTATTAGGCTTTGCAAGGATAAGGGCTTCTGTAAGGGTTTCGACTAGGGCACTAGAAATCCAAAAGAGCTTCTCTTAGGGTTTCGGATTTGGTATTTATGTGTTTGTAAAGGTTCCGGACGCGTTTTGGGGTTTAGGATTGGGTTGAGTAGGGATCAGCTTCATGCTCACAGCGTTTGGGCTTTAGGTTTCGGGTTAGGGTTAAGAAGTTGGGGTCATGGTGTTAGGCTTTGTCTTGGCAGTGAGGTTGGGGGTAGTTGAGGGGTGCGTTGGGAAGGAGGAATTAGGATTGCAGTTTCAGAGCTTGGGTTCACAACACATCTCGATCAAAGTCACGAACTTGGTTTGCTGGGCTTGGGAAAAATCTAGAGCCCGGCTGTTGTACTGACCCGCTTGAGACCCGAAACCCGTCGTCCGAGCCCCAATACAGAAGCATGAACAATCACCGACTATTGTTCCTCAGGTTTATAATTACAGTATAATATGCCCAAAACCCTTCTCCTAGTAGTTCAAGGCCTTTACGTTACCCGAACCCTGAACACAGCCTAGGAACACCTTCATGCGGCTGATCTCCAGCAGATTGCTTCCAGACGAGGGCTCGGTCTTCGTGCCAACTCACCTTCGGGTCCTTTTCGCTGCTTGGCTCGCGTTTGAAGGTTTCTGGTTTAGGGTTTGGGGTTTGGGGTTGGGGTGTAGGGCTTTCCTATCGTAGGACTGCAAGAGGCCTGATACTGGGCTTATGGGCAACTGAGCCCCCAGCTTAGTTTCAGTTCACAAAAGGTTGGAACCATTTTACTTCACTTTAACAGAGGTCTTTTTGCAGTTTTGTTCAGAGCGGGGGCATACTTTCGGGCGTGCACAAGCAATGCTTGAAGGCTGGAGAATGCCTAACATCCGAAATGTTCGATCCTAATTCTGTACTCCACGAGATCGGGTACGGTTTCCCAAGATCTTCTATTTGCACGTGTTGTTCTCACAGACGGGTCCTCTTTGAGAGTCCAATTCAAGCGGCCGTTCCAAGTAGTCATGACGCAGCAGTGCTGAATGTAGCCCCTGACTTCATGATTTGCAACGCAATGCCCTAAACCCAATCCCCTACACCCCCAACCCTAAGCCCTAAACCCGAAACCCAAATCCCTAAGTACTAAGCCCTAAGCCCTCAACCCTAAACGGTGGATGCCTTTAGAGCCTCAGGTCGCACAGGATCCCGTTCTGCTGGATGCCTCTGTCTGGGAGCCGCCCGGAGCCATTATTGAGTTGTGACTGGTGTGTTTAGAGTATAATTCCCGACATGATTCCTCAAAGTTCCCTATGATAACTGTATAGTATAGTCACCAACATTATTGCTTAGGGTTCTTTGTGAGAATCATACTACAATGTACCCGAAACGCCTACTACAAGGCTTTTTTGTGCCCCTAATCGGGTAGTGCTCTACATTTGGGTCCTCTTTCAGGTACCCAATATAGTCCGGCACCCTTAAAAAAGAACCCTAAAAGGGACCCCAGTTTCGAGTTTTGCCCGCTCTCTTGGCCCGAGCCTTCGGGATTCCGTTGCTGAGGAACCTGACCTATGGTGCGCCGGATTTCGCGGATCTGTCAGTGGTAAAGGCCGGGGAGTTCGGAGGTCTCGAGGTATCTGCTGCCTTCGATGGTCCCCTAACTTATCCGTTTGGTTCTTCTGATGCGACTCTTCCCAAGATCCCAGCCTGACTGCCCCAACATTCAGCATTCTCGCCCGCAGGGCGTCCTTGCGCACTTGAACATGAAGTACGTGCTAGAGACGTTGCAGATGCTTGGCGATTCCACCCTGCCAAATGTCATGAGTCTGAAACCCACCCAAAAGCCTGAAGCCTAAAGATTCTTGCGGTGGGACGCTCTAAACCCTCAGCCTTAAGCCTTAAAAACTTTGCGGAGCCCTTAACTTCTAAACCCTTCCCCATAAATGCTAAGTCCAAAACTCCAAAACTTTACCGAACACCCTAAGTCTTCGGCCCCACCCCCCGCAAAGCCCATTTAGGGGGTTTAGGGTTTCGGGCTTAAGGAACGAGATGGGCGAGCCGGACGGGAAGAACTCTGATGTTGAGCAAGGCCTGCTGGGACAAGCGAGGAGGTTCTTAAAAGGGTTTTCGGTTTGGGGTTTAGGGTTTGAACTAGGGATCGGTGTTCAAGGTGTTATTGTAGCGGTGCAATGCAGGCTCTGTACAGGTTCTACAACTCTACAAGGGTTCGACAAGGGCTCTATGTCAGGTTTTATGAGGGCTTTGCCAGGGTATTGTAAGGGTTCTGCATCGATATTACTATAAGGGCGGTTCTTTAAATTAAGGCACTTTTTAGGGTCCAATTCACAAGGTGCCGTACCATTTGGGGACTTAAAACGGGGCCTTAATTTAGAGAACTGCCCATAAGGCCTCTAGAAGGGTATACCCTAAACCCTAAACCCTAAAACCCTAAAACCCTAAACCCGTAATAAGGCCTTCAGAAGGGTGTTTGTAAGGTTCTCCAAAAAAGGTCGAGGGTTCTGGGCCAGTTGTGGGGTTCTGGGCTTCGGGCTTGCGGTGTAGGGTGTTAGGTAGGATTTTAGGGGTTTAGAGTTTTAGGGCTTAGGGTATTTAGATTTTTGCAGATCCAAGACCCCCCGATCTTTGTCTTGCATGGTTCTGGCGTCATGCCGCAATGCCAGCTCAACACGACTGAGTCGAAAAGCTCACCAGGCCTGCATGCATTATCTGGGGCCTGCCACAAGGAGAATAGTGGGGAAAGGCTCATTTCAGTGCTGCATTGTTGTGGCAGGCCAAGGACTCGAAACCCAAGACGCCAAACTTGAGACCCAAAGCCCAGAAACCCCAAGCCCTAAACCCGAGAGCCCTGTAGCCCATCAGATCTCATGGAGCCTTCTACGCTCCTTCTTATAGAGCCTTACGGAGCATCATAAACCCCAAAAGCAACATGGACAGGCATCAAACAGCCCAACAGATCTCCTGTGGAGAAGATCTCGGACCTTGCTGAGCTGCTAGACGTGGGAGTTTGGAGTTTTGGGTTTTCGAGGGTTAGGGATCAGAGAATCGGAGGCACGACATCAAATTGTAGCATCCTGGAACCCCGAAATAAGGCACCCCAGATCTAAGGATTACCTTTAAGGATTTGGGGTTCAGGATTTAGGTTGTTATCGGCGTAAATAAAGTTGACGGGTTTAGTTTAAGTTCAAGGGTGTGGGGGGATTAGGAGTTCAGGGTTCAGGGGTTTCCTAGGATTTGGGGTTCAGGGTTTAGACAAAGGTCTGCTGAGTCTGCAAAACCTTTATCCCTTATTGCCCGGACCTTAGACAGCCCAAGCCGCAAGCTCTAAAATCGAAATCCTTTTATAAACCCCTGCTCATCCCGATTGGATGGGTTTTTTGAGCCGAACTTTTGTGGCTGTGAATCCGAGGCCGTTGACCGGTGACAACGAGCCCAGGACGATCGAGGGGCCCTTTAGAAGCTGTAAGCAAGAAGAGCCATGGGGTACCTGAATCCAGGCCTCCCCCTTACGGCCAAAGCTCGACAGCCTACAGCCCAGACTGTAAGCCCTTCCCCTTAAACCGTCAATAACCCTTCAACCCTAAAGCAACTCGATCTGCAGCAGCTCTATCAGTACAATCCTACACAGCAGTACAACCCGCAGTCCAAGGCCAACCAGACAAGGGAATGCACTCTGATGCACTACACGGTGTGAATCAACAAAGCAGATGCAAAAAAAGCTGACCGAACGAGATGCAGCGTAGTTGGAGGGAGGCATGCATGTGTAATCGTTTGGTTACACATTCGCATGTGCACATTGCTAAATGGCATCGTAGTCGTAGCACACACGATAAAGCAGTGTTTTCAAACAAGCTTGTTGACTTCCCTCCCTCTCTCCCTCCGTTCGTCCGTCTGTCCGTCCGTCCATCCATCCATCCATCCATCCATCCATCCATCCATCCATCCATCCATCCATCCATCCATCCATCCATCCATCCATCCATCCATCCATCCATCCATCCACACACGACACGCAGAAGAACTATGCGCCGGTACCCTGAAAGTCACCCATGTCGGGCAAGTTGTGTCGAGTTACTGATTTCTGATACCGTCCTATGGTGGGAATTCTGGCTTGCTTCAGGAATCAGGAGTTGATATCATTGTCATTATCACTCAGTGAAAGCACGTCTTAATGCCGCCAAAACATTTACACCGCGTTAGACCGGACGAGGGCATCGCGGGTAGAGTTTGTTGATGAATCCGGAGTGCCTACATCGTGGTCTCATGTTGCAGTACTGCTTACGGCGCTCAACACGTCATGCAGCAGACTCTTCTTTCTGGCAGGAGCTCCAGAACACTTAGCATGTCAGGAGGCGGGTGCTGCTACCGATTTCATCGGCGAAGCCGACTGTCAGTTCAAAGCAACTGAGTAGAATTGTGATGATACTTCTTGCAAGTATCAGATGCCCGCTACGTGGAGCCAAGTCTCTGTAGTACTAACCCAAAACCACTAAACCCCCTAAAACCTAAACCATACACCCTAAACTCGCCCTAAACCCTAAGCCCTAAGCCGTCTCTGTAGGCAGCTATATGGAGCTCCCGAACATAGATCCGGCGGAACTGGCGGCCGACATCAAGCAGGATTCTGGCTTTGGGATATGCATATATACATATATGTATATTATACTATGCCCTCTATATATCTATCTACACATGTATATACAGTATAAATATCTATACCTATATAAATGTACGTAATTATAAAGACAGAAATGTAGACATAAAAATAGAAGTGTGCATAACTAACTAAATAAATAGATAAATAAGTAGATATATATATATATGTATATATATATATATGTATACATATGTATACATATGTATATATTTATACCTATATAAATATGACATTTTCTGATTCTGGAGGTCTTGCCTTGACTGGGGCTTGAAAGCTTGAAACAGGGCTGCTTGCGTCTCCGACTACGCAGCCCCGAACAGCACTGTACACTCCAGTGACGAGACATCAGCGATGTGATTTGCCCCAAGAAGAAGCAGCCATCATGGCTGTGAAGCCGGTCAGTACAATGCACTCCTCCGATTTGGGTCAGGAGTCCAGCAAGCACTTGTGGCAAGAGCCCTTGACCTACACAGAGAAGGCCAGTCGACGGGTCGAGGAAGGGAGCCAGCAGTCCACGTTTCAGCTTTGAGGAATCGCGGTATTGGGGTTTCAAAGACGAAAGTCCTGCAGCCATTCCAACTGTTTGCCATTTTAGCGACGCTGGCCTGACAGCGCTACACCGCGCGAACTGCAATATCACAACTTCTTGGGTGGCCCAATACACCCATGACGGAAGAACAGAACATCGCGACATGGGTGTGAAGCATTCTAGCCCTGGCGTCATACTACGGTATGTTACTATAGCAGCACAGACCTGAAGTAGACGACAGCTGCTTCCGCTGTGACTCCAAATTACACCTTTGTGCTCGTGACTCGCAGCAACTCTTTGAAAGAATTAGGACGACGCATGTGCATTTTACGGCTACCCCGATGCAGTGGCCACATCGAGGGGGAATCACCCACTCTGGTTAATGCAGGGCTTGTGTCGACAGGGGGGAGCTGATCTTTTATGCATAGGCAATGCCAGGATTATCCCAAGTAACACATTGTTCCCCGATGTCCTCAAAGGGTTCACTGCACCAAGGCTCTAAGTCGGATTAACCAGTGAAAGGGATTATGCTACGGGAGCCGTCACGGAGAGCTAGAATTTTGGTTTGCCCCAGCTCGGCGCCTTCCTACACAAGACCGCTGCAGAGGTCAAGATAAGCCTCGCAAGAGCTCTCATCATGAACCCTGACATGCTACCGGTCTGCAAAGAGGGGCGGGCAATGCAGTGATCACTGGTTGCAGGAACTGCCCGGGCTGGTCGGATGTTGTTTTGTGCCAAGGCTTGTTTTGCATCGACCGTTCCACCACTTTGACATCGGTACCGCCGACGACGTTTTGCAAGCATCTCGCCGGCCAGGGTGCTTGAGTTTCGTGGCATTTTCGGCCCTTCAAGGCTGCAGAGAAGGCTTCTGTCTGTCTGCCTGTCCGTCTGTCCGTCTGTGTGTGTTTGTGTGTGGGCTGGTGCATGTACAAACTGTGCTGCTACCGTTCATGAGGCAGCGACCAGATGTTGGAGGCATCTTTTTGGACGATTCGAAACCAAAGGTAGTGAAGTTTGTAAATATTTGTAAACAGCCGGCTGTGGTGTTTCGGTCGTTTCCCGTGACGAGCAAGCCGGCCGTGACCGTGCTAGATTCATGGTGATACTGTGTCTGCGTGTGTGAGTGTGTGTGTGTGTGTGTACATCGACATCGGTGAGCCCGGTGGCGAAACATGGGTCCAGCCCACTCCCAATCAAAGCAACAAGGCTATATATATATATATATGTATGCATATGTATATGT